AATATATACATATGTATGTTGTTTTCATCCTGGTAATTAGACAGCTTGTATAGTGTTTTACTGAAGTTGGTTTAGTTAGAGCTGTTTAGGTGGCCAGTACGCCAGATACTGTAAGAATAAATGTAAGAGTTTATTAGTAAATATTAAGACTTAAAAACATGAGTTGGCAAACCTTAGATTTTACCGCAGTTCGGGAAAGTGTTAGAGCTGGGATACTATCGATAGTATCGATAGTTGAAAACTGTCCCCACTATCGATAGTTTTTGAAAACTATCGATGTCGGTTTTAGCAAGACTTCACAATGTCTCTTCTTTACATCTCTACAAATTACATGGATTTTTTTTATGCGAGAAAATTCACAACACAGTCGGCAAAAAGAAAAATTAAGTCATTGGGATTTTTAGCAACTATAAGCTTACACTGAGTTATAGTAAAATTTAATAAGCTATAAAACTGCTTACACAAAATTTTTCATAGAAATTCGAATTAAAAAGCTTCAATTTTTAATTATTTTGTAGTTTTTTATGTTTGGCACAACTTTTATAAAAAATTAGTAGACACTAAATAAACAAAAAAATTATCAAAACTGCTAAAAAATGTTGTGGTGCTATTATTATGAGCAGTACTATATTCGTTTTCTTATGATATAGTAAAATGTTAATAATTTCCCTTCACCGGATTTTGAGATACGCCTCCGTATTTGATCTCAGTTGAACTTTTATAAGAATGAGCTGTCAATTTAAACGAATATCTTTTATTTTGCTTGTTTTGTGGTATTATAAATGTATGTTTATCGCCGATTTCACGTATTTACACTTTAAAATGGACAAACACAATCCGAATTTAATTTCGCGAATATAAAAAATAAATTCAGATTTTGCCTGTCGCTATTCCAGGGGATGCAAGGGTTTGTATATCTACTATATATTTGTGAAAGTATGTATGTATGTATGTATGTTTTTTTTTACGAGGAGGAAGCATCGAAAGCCTAACCCCGTCAGTGTGAGACTAAACCTCCTACCGTCATGTACCGTTCCCCTCCCGGTACTGGTACCAAGTATTTCGTCGGCGGGTGGGTTGAGCACGAAGCTCTACGTTAGTTGCAGTCCTGATGCAGTCCGTTTGAAAGTTGTATTAACTTGGAGCCGTCCTTTGTCTTCGGGTCCATGCGTCCCCGCCCGCCATGTTCTGTCCGCCTATTACGTAACGCCTCTGCTATCTTCTTGCCTCAGCAGCTAGTGCCTCGACAAATATCGTGCCTGGTGGTAGATATTTCATCTGGGCGTAGTTATGTGTCGTCCATTTCGACGCGGCTCATCTCTTCTCAGTTGGGTCAAAATGTGCGTGACGGCATTGTTCACCGCTTCCCATTTTCCAACGGATTCTATCATGTGAACTACCATGTTTTCAGGTGTGAGGTGTTCTCCAAATACAGAGCGAATGTGGTTTTTATCCAGATCGAATCTCGGGCAGTGGAACAAAACATGTTCGACGTCTTCGATAATGCCATCACCACACGCTTCGCAATGGTCAAGCTCTTCGTGTTTGAAGCGTTTCAGGAACGATCTGAAGCAGCCGTGGCCGGTGAGCATCTGGGTTAAATGGAAGTTAGCTTCGCCGTACGGGCGGGAGAACCATTTTTCGATGTTTGGTATTAGTCGTTGTGTCCAGCGTCCGTTGGACGATTCGTCCCATTTCTTCTGCCGCATCTCTAGCGTGTGTTTACGGGCTAGTGCTTTCCTAGCAGGAAGTGCTAAATTGCTAGGTGTATTCATTGACAGTTCTTTCGCCAGAAGCTCTATTGGGTGTAATTCAGACAGTACTAGAGCGGCGTCTTCGGATACGGTACTATAGGCGAAGCAAACCTTTAGCGCACATAGCCGCTGAGACCGCGAACATATGACCTTACTTCCACTGCGTAGCTCCACACTTGTGCGCCGTAAAGTATCACAGATTTGAGAACCCCGGCTAGCAATCTTCTGCGGGCTTGTTTTGGCCCTCGGAGGTTTAGCATCATTTTAGTCGAGATGCTCCTTGAAAGTTAGTCTCGCGTCAATCATTACACCAAGATATTTTATGGCAGGCTTTGTGAAGATTTCGCAGTCCCTAAGTTGCAGAGTGAGGCTAACTCCAGCCCCATTGAGTCCAGCCACTGTGACCCCATCATTATTGCAGCGGTTGCAGCCGCCTTTATCTCGTATATATGTTTTGCTACTACGACAATAGCTATGTCGTCAGCGAATCCCACTATCGTTACATCTTTCGGGAGCCGCAGTCGAAGTGCTCCATCGTACATCACGTTCCAAAGAAGCGGTCCCAGTACCGAGCCTTGAGGAACCCCGCCGGTAATTTTGAGTGTTTTACTACCTTGTGCAGAGCTGTATTGGAGGATTCGATTTTCGGAGTAGTTTGCAACAATTCTGAGGAGATATTTAGGAACTGAAAATTGTTCTAATGCCAACATAATTTTCTGCCAATTTGCAGTGTTGAACTCGTTTTTTATATCGAGAGTAACTATTAAGGAGTATTTTATTGTTCCTCCCTTCAAGCGTTTGCCTGCAATTGCTTTTGCGGACAGGTCTCTGACAACTTTTATCGCATCAATGGTGGACTTTGATTTACAAAAGCCGAACTGGTGGGGTGACAAACCACCAGATGCTTCAATAGCATTTTGGACGCGATCATGGATAACTCTTTCGAGGATCTTCCCCATTGAGTCGAGCATGCAGAGGGGGTGATAGTTGTTCGGATCGTTTGGCTGCTTTTTAGGCTTTGGGACGAGATTAAGGTGTTGTCGCTTCCATGGTTTTGGAAATTCCCCCGGTTGGATGCACACGTCGTACATTTCGGTGAAAATTGAACTGTGGTGGCTAACAGCAGTCTTATGCGCGATATTGGGAATTTTAGCTGGGCCTGGTGCTTTTGATGCTCCTATTCTTGAACATGCTTTCAAAACTTCTTCTGCGGTTACCCGTTGTATGTTCAGGAAAGGGGTATTGCGAGGTACTACGTATCGGAATTTATTTTGATCAGGAAACAGGGTCTTTATAATTGTTTTTAGCAGCGCAGGAGAATTTGGCATTTGGCCAGGGAGCTCATTTTATTCATAACAACTTTGTACGCATTGCCCCAAGCGTTTATCTCCGCATCATCACAAAGCTTCAAGAAACTTTCACGTTTGCTTTTGCGTATAGCCACCTTTAGCTGCTTTCGTTTTTTGGCGAACTCTACACGGAGGTCGCTGTGGTTTGGTCTTCCTCTTGAACGCTGTTGACATTCGGCGCGTAGGTTGGATATCGTGTCATTCCACCAATAAACGGCCCTGTGGTGCTTCATTGCGGATCTTCTGCTCATAGATGCATCGCAAGCTCTTTGCAGCCATTTTGTGACCAGTAACGAGTATTCATCTGGCGATCTAAGGCTGGTATGGCTAGGTTCGGGCCTAAGCGCCTCAAGGAATAAATCGGTATCGAAGGATTTGGCTTTCCACACTATGTTTGGCGACGAAAGATTATCTGCCCGCTGGTATTGTCTCCTTCTCTTTATTTCAAAGTTGATAGCGAAGTGGTCGCTGAAGGTATAGTGATCGCTTATTTTCCACTCAGATCTCATATAGAGATTGCATGTTACCAACATTAGGTCGATCGTTGACTCATACCCATTTCTGCTGAAGGTCGGAGCAGGGATTTTTTTAAGGAGGACCAAGTCGAGCGTTGCTAAAAAATCAAGCAGGGCTTTGCCCTTAGCGTTCGTCTTTCGAGAGCCCCATTCGGTTGACCATGCATTGAAGTCGCCCGCAATAATGAGATTTTCCTTGCCCCGGGCATCAGTGACAAGGTTATCGATGATTCTATTGAAATCAATGAGGTCTATGCTGGGTGGAAGATAGCAGCTGTAGACGTGAAGGTCGCCGAATTTTGCTCTTGTAAAGCCTGTGAACGATGAAGCTAACTCGATTTGAGGTACTGATGGGTTACACCTCCAAATAGCGGACTTCCGCTGGTTGTCAGAGCACCAATTGGGGCAAGTTCCCACGAAGTAAGTTTCGCTTAGTATCGCTGCATCGATTGGGAGTTCTTTAACAGAGTGTGCAAGCAGGTCCTGAGCTGCTTGGCAATGGTTCAAGTTTAGTTGCATGAACATCATTTTGGTAACCTACTGATCGCATTGTTGTACGCTGGGCATCTAATACTTCCCGTGTAGTGTTTTGCCGCTTCGGGGTTCTTATTAACACAGATCATGCACCGTAAGCCATTCTTGCAGTCTTTCGACTCATGCTCTCTTTCTCCACATCGTCTGCAACGATCTGACCTATCTTCGTTGCAACAGTTTTTTGCCACATGCCCGAACTCCAAGCAGCGGAAACATTTTTGTGGTCAACGGGATTCCCTTACTCTGCATACTACCTAACCAATTGTTATCTTTCCAGACTCCAGTACTTTCTTGGCTGCTTCAGCTGGTAGCTTAATGACAGCTGCTTGAGTGTCTCGGTAAGATTTCCTCAACCTTTTTATGGCAGAAGGCTCGAGGTCAGTCAGCCCGAACTGCTTTCTGAAGGCATAAGTGATTTCTTCTCTGGTTGTTACTTCACCTATGTCTTTACATTCCAGAAGAATTTCGTGTGTCAGTACACGAATATCCGCCTGGTCCTTGAGTATCGTTTTCATTGCTTCGTGTGCTTGGGCTTTTGCGGGGGCATCCTTCGTCTTGAGTTGAAGAATCATTTCCTCTTTTTGAGTTTTACGTATATGGGAGATGTTCTCACCGAAATCGTTAAGGGATGGCTCGGTTTTAATCTTTCGCAAGATCTCGGCATAAGAAAGACTTCCGTTTTTCGATATGATGATTGCATCAGGTTTTGCACTAGAGGTTTTGCTGCTGGGTTTTTTGTTTTTTCTTATTGCTCGCTATGGTCCATTGATCTCCATTTTGGTTGGTTGTGAGGTCGATCGTGGTTGTTGGTGCATTGATTTCTTTGCTTTGCATTGGCGCAGACTTCATACTCTGCGTAGAGGGGCTGGGATTGATACGGTTGCCAGGCTTGGAGTTTTGCAGAATAGGATTGTGAGCGGGGCTAGATTGACCAATCGAATTGTTGCGTACTCTTTCGATATTTGCTTTTTGGCTTGTTGGGGCGAATTGCCCACTGCTGGGTCGTCGGAGGTATTATTTCTCGTTCTCTTCATTTGTGAAGAAGAAGAAGAAGTGGCGGTCGATACTATTGCGTTTGCTTTTGCCTGCTTCTGCAGCTTTGCAATACGCCCAATCAAGTTACGCATGTGTTGATTTACGTGTCTCTGCTTTTGGTCGAAAACCAGAGCAGAGAGCTCGCTAATGAGATCACCGATCACTGAGGGAGCGTCAATCTCGCCTACGCAGCTGTCATCTTTGTGCTCGGGTAGTTCACTACTTTTGCATTGCTCTGCAAGTGCAGGTACCTCAACAGCAGGTGCGGGTAACCCAACAGCAGACTTAGTCAAATTAGTTATGTTGTTCACATCGCACATGTTGTGTGGTTCGCAGTAGGGGCCGCCCGGGATGAGGCGCCTAATGTTGTATCGCGTATACCTCGTCTGCTGTCTTCAGGCGAGCCCGATATTCTGCTGCTTCTTCGAAATGGGTTGATTAAGCAGTTTATACTCTCATTGTGGTTAGCCAGGGCATTTTCAGCATTTCGTGTGGCAGACATTGTAGTTTTAAATCATCATCAGATTGATTTTAATAATGCAGCACTGTCAAAACTTTGAGCGTGGGTTGCGTGTTTGCTGACTTTGGCAGTGGAGAGTTCTCTTTTGTTCTCTACAGCAGTAGTGACAGTCAGCCGATTTGCGGATTTTGCCCTCTTACTCGCCGTCTTCTTTTCGCCCTTATCCTCTTTCGGTGAGCAGATTTTCCGTTTATAAACTATTAGATTCAGTCTTACTCACCGCTGATGGAGAATTTTGCTGTCTGTCGACTCGACTACAGTAGCGATCACAGGTGCGCTGGTATACTTTCCAGGCTTTAAACTTTAGTTTTACTTGTATTTTTGCACTTTGAACGTGGAGCACTTCTAAACACGTCTTCACATCAACAACGTAGATATGTGTATGTATGTATGTATGATTTTTTATTTTTTATTTTTTTTTTTTCAACGGAGGGGGAATCTTCCAAAGATGTTATGCACGATTCGTCATCCTGTCCGCTAAGGGTACACCTCATTCGGGACCACGCCCAGACTATGTTATCACATAATTCAGGACTTGTGAGACACGACGGTATACGACTGTGTTTATTCAAACTTTAATTCAGGTGACCAGTGATGCCGTATTGATGTAAACGATTATAAATATACGTAGGGAATGCCACATAAACATAAATGTATATATAACATCTCCCTTCTTAATTGAAATAGTACATTAATTTCATTTATAAGCATAGGTTTTCAATCGAATACAATATTCACAGAAAGTATAATAAAATAAAATAAAGTTTATATAGGCAAAGTATAATGGTCAGACAATGTTTTGGCTTACAGCAAATGTTTAAATACATATGTATACTTATAACTAGGATCTTTTTCGCAGCCATCTCGAGTTTCGGCGGTAAACTGTTTGGTCTTCTAACTCAATCCAGTATGATCTAGGTGCGTCATGTATATCGATGATTTTGGCTTTAATCCAACCTTTTTTATTGTGCTTAAACCATATTTTCTCTCCCTCTACGAATGATTGTTTATGTGATGCAGAACGGTCGTAGTACATTTTTGCTTTGTAATTTTTTGCTTTTATGTTGTGAAGTATGTTAGGAGTGATTTTTGGTTGAAATAAAGTTTTTTTCGTTGGCAAAAGTGTACGGGTTTTCCTACTCATCAATAACTCCACTGGCGAGGCGTCAACATCTTTAAGCGGTGTATTACGATACTCAAGCAAGGCTAGCCGTAATTTTTGATTGCTTTCGTTTGCTTTCTTGATTAAGTTTTTTGCAATCCCAACAAAACGCTCAGCAAATCCGTTCGATTGCGAATATCCAGGGCTTATTGTAGTTAATTTAACACCAATGTGATCACAAAATCGTTTAAACTCATATGAGTTAAAAGGCATATTATCCGAAACGATTTCTACAGGTATTCCGTGTACTGAGAAGCATGTTTTGAGTGCATTGATACACTCAGATGATGTTTTCGATTTTAAAAGAGCTATTTCCAAATACCGCGAGTAATAATCTGCTATTATTAGATAGTTCCTTGACGCAAATTCACAAATATCTATACCTAATTTATTAAAAGGTAAATTGGGAACGGTGTGGGGGATCATTGGTTCCTTCACATTAACAGAGCGACTTCGTTGGCATACATTGCATTTGGTAATCATTTTTTCAATTGCATCGTCGATTCCTGGCCAGTACACTAATTCACGTGCGCGTTTTTTCGTTTTATCAATACCTAAATGAGACGAATGTAGTTGTGTCGTCACTTAACATATTTTTCTTATTTGGCCAGCCATTTTTTAAAACAGTCTTCAATTGTGCTAGAAGATTATCATTTTCTATTTCCTTTCGAAAGCTTGTCAGACGTTCGTCGGTGATGTTCAAGGAATGGACGAACTCATTTAAATCCTCTATATCTGGCGCGTTATTCTCCTTGTCAAAATATCGGGATAACAAATCCGCGATGTACAAAAATTTTCCTGGAACGTGAGTTAAGTTTAAGTCATATTTAATTAAGCTTAGTTTTATGCGTTGAAGTCTCGCGGAAGGGATTTTGCAAAATTCCTTTTTCATTATCGAAACAAGGGGCTTGTGATCGGTCTTAATTGTAACCTTTCGGCCATAAATATAGTAATGAAATTTGCGACAAGCAAACAAAATAGCTAAAAATTCCTTTTCTACCTGAGCGTAGTTAACTTCAGCATCTGTAAGGCTACGAGATGCAAATGCTATCGGCTTCCCATTTTGCATGAGACAGCAACCGATACCAAATTTAGAAGCATCTGTCTCTACTGTTATTTCTTTTTTGTCATCAAATGATTGAAGAGTTGGCGCGTTTGCTATCATTGCTTTTATCAACTGCAAACAACTTTCGTGAGCTGATTGCCATTCATATACAACGTTGGACTTAAGCAATTCTCGCAACGGTTGGGAAATACTAGATAAATTCGGTATATATTCTCGAATATAGCTTATCATGCCCAGTAATTTTTGCAAATCTTTTTTATTGTTGGGTTTTTGTATTTGCATTATTGCTCTTACTCTATCAGGATCGCAGCGTATGCCATCAAGCGAAATAATTTTTCCTAAATATTTAACCTCAGTTACCTTGTATTGGATTTTGTCGACATTAAATTTGATATTCAATTTTCTTGCTCGTTCCATAACTAGTCTCAGGGTACGATCATGTTCTTCAACACTTTTTGCTGCAATTAATATATCGTCAATGAATACGATTACATTTGGGATATCTTCGTAGTTTCTTTCGTTGTATTTTTGAAAGACCCCAGGACCTATTTTGATACCAAATGGCAAACGCTTGAAACGGTAGCACCCAAACGGTGTATTGAAAGAACAGAGTTCACTAGCTTTTGCACTAAGGCCTATTTGCCAAAATCCTTCCTTCAAATCTAGCACAGTGAATATTTTACTATTAGCAATACGTACCGATATTGATTCGAATGATGGAATCGTATGGTTCTCCGATAGTATATCTGCATTCAGGTCTTGCGGGTCGATACACAAACGCAGTTTTCCTGATTTCTTCTCCACAATTACAAGATTGGAAGCACGTTCAATGGGCCCATCCACTCGTTCAATTATCTTCTTTTCTACCATATTCTGCAACTCATTTTTTACTTTGGCTACCAATGACTGTGGAATCCTTCTTGCCGGTTTTACCACCGGAACGGAGCTTTTCTTTACTTTAATGTCCAGATTTGTTACAAAACATCCCGTCCCTTCGAAAACATCACTATAATTTCGAATAAATTCATCTTTTGATGCTTCACGAATCACATCAATGCGCTTAATAAGGTTCAGCTGCTCACATGCTTCTAATCCCAACAAAGGCTCGTACGGTGTATCAACAACAGTGAATGGCAAAATCTTAATTTCATTTCGGCACATTACTACACACTCAATGATACCCTTGTAGTCCAAGTCAGCTCCACTATAACTTCGTGGAGACAAACCACCTGTGTCGAGCGCAGTATTTTTCAGGTATTTTTTAAAATACTTATAAGGCAAAATATTTACGTCGGCACCGGTATCTAACTTAAAATTTATGAGGCAGTCATTTACTCTAATCTTTTCATACCATCTTTTCCGACCCGCTGCTAAATCTTCAATATTGTGCAAAACAATATCATCATTTTCCCTTTTTTCGTCATTTTCTCTTATTTCATGCACTTGTGAGCTGTAACAAGCAACACTAAAATGATTTAAACGTCCGCAGTTGTTGCATTTTTTGCCGAATGCAGGGCATTTGCGAAATTCGTGAACGCCTCTACAGAATTTACAATTTGAGCTTTGTCGCATTTTATGCTTAATATGTGCGTTTTCTGTGCTTAAGCTTTTCGCGTTTACTATGGAATTTCGCTTACCGCTATTTTGTGAAATTTGTTTGTGGGTACTAATTGAATTTACTTCTGTGTATTTGTTCTGTTGTTGCATCTCGTCTGCGTACTTTTCCACTAACTCAGCTGCACGAGCGATATCGATGGTTTTTTGCAGGGTTAAATTTTCCGTTTCTAGAAGTTTTTTCTGTAGCTTTTGACTATTTATACCAATAACAATGTTGTCTCGTATCATTCTATCTGTGTCAATATATCCACAGTTCCTAACCAGTTTTCGCAGGTCTAGCAGATAAGACTCGAATGGCTAACCTTCTTCTTGCTTTCGCGAATTGAACTTAAAAGCTTCATACACCTCATTCTTTTTTTGGCGTACAGTAGTTTTCCACAGCAGCTAAAACTGCATTGTAATTTTTCTTCAGCACTGCAGACAGTCCCAAGGTGTTACATATTTCATTCGTTTCGGGACCGCATGCGTTAAGAAATATGCCGACTTTCTGTGTTTCTTTCCTTTCTTCAAAATCTATTGCTATGGCATATATATCAAAATTTCGCTTAAAAATCCGCCATTGCTCGGAAACATTTCCTTAAATTTTTAAGGGATCAGGACGTCGTACGTCCAGATTGCTGTATGTGTTGCTATTCGTAGCCATTACAAAATCTTCGCTTTCACTATCTGTCGTGTGCTCGCTTGCCTCTCGCTTCAATTCAGCTCCACTCCTAGTTTTCATTCCTTTTTCGGCTGCGCCATGTGTTATTTACTATATGTTCGGTATACGACTGTGTTTATTCAAACTTTAATTCAGGTGACCAGTGATGCCGTATTGATGTAAACGATTATAAATATACGTAGGGAATGCCACATAAACATAAATGTATATATAACAGCGCGCCTACGTACTAAATCCTTAACTCCGACGTCTGAAGCTTGTGTTTCGCCTAGCGGGACCGCCGTTAGGTATTACGACGCAAGGCGTAGCTTTGCCAATTGGCTCTTCACACACGCCTTTCTGGCCTATCTCTCGTTCAGTCCTCTGTTATCGCTACTGCGCTGCCACTCTTTCCTTCAAAGTTCCTGAAGAACTATACTCCACACCATTCTAGATTGCATCATGTGGTGCACAATGTATTCTGGCGCCACTCGATCGTAGGTGTGTGTGTGTGTGTATCTCCCTCACCTATAGCTTGTAATTGGCTTTGCGGTACTGCCGTTAGGAATTTCGTCCCAAAGCTCAGCTTGGCGATTGGCCCTTCTTCACATCATTGGGCTTGTTCTTCGGTCATTCTCTTTTCGCTACTGCGCTGTCTTTCTTTCGCTCTTAGCTCCTGGAGGACTACTGCGGACCACGCCTTAATTCTACTCCACACCGCTTTTGAGTTTATCATGTGCCCCACGATATTGTCAGGCGTCATGCTCTCCTTTATCAGCTGCTCTATGTCTGTTCGATATGCCTCGTATTTTCGGCAGAGGAATAATACGTGTAGTACGTTTTCGTCGCCGCTACCGCAGAATGAGCACTCTGTCCCGTCATCATGCCCATATTTGAACAGGTATTCTCGAAGCAGCCGTGCCCCGTCAGAAACTGTGTCATGTAGAAGTCGGTCTCTCCGTGTTTCATCTCCACCCACGCTTTTATGTTACCGACCAGCCTGTGCGTCCACCTCCCTTTTGTCGTCACATCCCAGTGTCTTTGCCATTCATTTAGACTTGCCTCCCTCTCTTGTTTTCGCTCTTCGATTGTCAGGTACCTGCCTAAGTTTCGGGACTTATCCAAAGACTCTTATTAGCTCCATGGCCATTATTTCTGGGAGCATGATGCCCGCTAAGACTCCGACCGCCTCATGTGACACAGTACGGAAGGCGCTAGTCACCCTGATGCTATTTAGTCGGTACACCGACTTTGCCGCCTTCGCCTAAGTCATGCGCTGCAACGCGGGCCCCCAGATGGGTGCTGCATACATTAGTATGGACTGGCTCACTTTTGCTAGAAGCGCTCGTATGTTTTGGCTCGGTCCGCCGATGTTAGCCATAAGTCTTGTTAGAGCCGTGGTCACTCTTGCCGCTTTCTCACAGGCTTTACCAATGTGCACCTTGTAGCTTAATCTCGAGTCTATCATGACACCCAGGTATTTCAGCGACTGCTCTGTTTTGATGATATGTCCATCGATGTTTTTTGCCCTGCGAGTTGGAGATTCGTTGCAGCGAGCCAGTTCTTTATTTGTTGCGCCGTGCTGTTGCAGAGGTTCTCAACTTGGTCGAGGTCTTTAGCCACTACTGTTTTTGCTATATCAGCGGCGTATCCGATAATTTGTACCTTCCTTGGCAGCGGAATATGCAGAATTCCCTCATAGAGGACAATCCAAAGTAGTGGCCCAAGTACGGAGCCTTGTGGTACTCCACCCGTCACCACGTACTTCCTGGGGCCTTCGTCGGTGTCATACCGCAGAAGCCTGTCAGATATGTAGTTGGATACCATCCTTAGCAAGTAGGGCGGCGTGTTCTTTCTTTCCAGAGGCGTGGCCTTTCTTTGTGAGGCCAGGAGGACGAATTGAAGGCGTTTTTTACGTCGAATGTCACCACCGCGCAGTATTCCTTCGTGCCATATAGCCATCTGTTCCTTCTATTGCCTTGCCTGCGACATCGGTGGGCTTTTTAATTGCATCAATGGTAGACCTCTGTCTTCGGAAACCATACTGGTTATCGGCGAGACCCGGCAGTTCCTCCTCTTGGTGCTGCTCCAACCGTACACAAATTAATCGCTCCAGTATCTTACCAAGCGTATCCAGCATACAGAGAGGTCGGTATGCGCTTGGTAATCCTGCCGGCTTGTTTGGTTTCTGCAGTAGGACCAGCCGCTGTTTCTCCCAGATTTTTGGGAAGACACCTTCTCGCAGACACCGCGTAAAGAGTTCGGTAAACGGACCCGTGTTGTGCTTGATGGCAACCTTCAGAGCCTTGTTTGGTATGCCGTCTAGGCGTGGCGCTTTGTCGTTACCAAATCTTTCTGCTGCTTGGACCACCTCCTCGTCCGTAACCGTTGGTGCTTCCATTCCCTCCGGTTTCTCTGCTTGCGGTCGCCGACCTCCTGGCGTTTGCACAGGGAAGAGCGTTTGAACGACGTCTTTTAGGAGGGCGGGACAGGTTTGTGCCTGGCCTTTACCACCTTTTATTTTCTTCATGACCACCTTGTAGGCATCACCACATGGGTTTTCGCCCACCTTTTCGCAGAGCTCCTTAAAGCAGCTGGTTTTGCTGCTTTTGATGGCTTTTTTAAGGTCACTTCGATTCTTTTTGAAGGCTTCGCGCAGCACGGCATATTCCATCGAGCCACGGTTTCTTTGACACAACCGCCTCGCCTTATGACACTTACCCCTTATGGCCTGGATTTTTTCGTTCCACCAGTACGCCGGCTGCCTGAGAGAGCCGTGTTTTGTCCTGCACATAGCAGCGTCGCAGGCTTTACTGATGTGCCTCACCAGTATTTCAGCCTGGAGCTCAGTGTTATCCTCAGTGGCCATTTCCTCGTCCAGCACGAGTCTGAAGAGCTCTTCATCCAGAGTCTCTACCTTCCAGCCCCTTGTTTGCACCTTCCTGGTGATCGCCCTTTGTCGGCTCTGTGCACAATTCTCTAGCTCCATCATGATTGCCAGGTGGTCACTGTTCGTATAGAGGTCCGACACCTTCCAGCGCGCTGAGCGCACCAAGGAACTACTAGCGAAAGTAATGTGAATCACCGAGCCTCGACCATTCTTCTCAAGGGTGTCTTTGTTCCTCGAGTTCAGAAGCACCGCATCAAGTACCGAAAACGCCTTTAGTAGTGCACCGCCCCACCTGTTTCTGTGGACGCTACCCCATTCCACTGCCCATGCATTGAAGTCTCCTGCTGTAACGTTCATTGTGGTGGTCCGGACTTCTTGAACCAAACTGTCTAGGATTTCCTCGTATTCATTTTGTGGGATACTTGGTGGTATGTAGCAACTATAAAAGTTAAACCCGTCTACCTTCGCTCGTGTGTAGTAGCTTTTACCAAGCAACGGCTTTTCTTGGAAGGCTTTCCCTCCGCATGTCCATATTGCAGCTTTGCCTGTGAGGTCCGATATCCACGCTCCACTGTCTATATTTTTATACTGCTCGCTGATTATTGCTATGTCCACCTTCTCCTCGTACACCGTTTGCATGAGCTGCTCTTGCGCTGCTTCGCAGTGGTTGAGATTGAACTGCACCGACTCTCATTTTCTGGATTTCTTGCACGCCTCCTGGTATAGCGGACACCTCCAACTACCTATCTGATGCTCGGTGTTCTTTCTTCCCTGGTTTTTGCATGCACTGCAGTGTGGCTTCTTGTCGTAGGCTTTCGCAAAGTGTCCATTTTCCCCACATTTTAGGCAGCATTTACTTCTGTCTCCGCGTTTTTGCAGTCTCTCGCTATATGGCCGTATTCCAGGCACCTGAAGCCTTTTTTGGGGTTCGGTTTCTCCCGTACTCTACACACAACCCATCCTACCTTTATTTTCTGCGCGTCAAGAAGTAATCTTGCCTCCTGTGCTGGGAGATTTACCACCGCGGTTTATGTGCCCGCATACGCCGCCCTGATGCTTTTTATCGTATTTTCGTTAAGGTGGTTTAGCTCCTTTACCTGGTTGCGGATGCCCTCGGCAATATTCTCCTTGGTGGTAATCTCGTCCAGGTCACGAATTTCTACCATCGTCTCGTGGGTTAGGGCTCTGATCTGTGCCTGGTCCCCTAGAAGCCTACCTATTTCGCTCTTGAATTCGCCCGTGTCCTTCATTTGCGTCTCCTTAAGCTGCAGCAATATTCCACCCTTGACCATCTTTCTGATGCGCGATACGCTCCCGCCGAGTTTCTGCAGCGCCTCTTCCTTTTTAACGGTCCTTAGTATATCGCTGTAGGTCATATCTCCCGTCCGAGCTATAATTATGGCATCTGGCCGTGGTGGTGGTTTGTATGCCATCTTCTTTTTTTTGCCATGTGATCTGCGTTGGACCTCTATCCATTCTCCTTCTTTCTCCACCTCCTTCTCCTTAATCTTGCTGGAATTTTCGTTCGACGCCATCTTAATCTGTTTGGTTGCAGGGTTGGTGGTCACCTCCTCATGCGTGGTTTTATTTTTCTTGGGTGGCGTCCTACGCTTTAGTTGGCTTTCATCTCGGGGCCTCTTCGGGGTTTCAGCAGTCACCGGTATGTTGAGAATACTCCGTCTGCTTGCCTTTATTCTA